TCTCTCTCTCTCTCTCTCTCTCTCCCTATCAACTCTCAAACCCCCTCTCTCTCTCTATCTCCCCCAACTCTCTCTTTTTTCCGTTTTCCCATCCCCTCCATCTCTCTCTATCAGAGCCAAGTTCTCGAGACCAACCAGGATCCGAGAAGCCATCACCAAGAGTTTAGCCCTTTATCTTCCCATCCTTCATCTGCTTCACCTTCAACCTCTTCACTATAATTTCTAGGTCATCAACCGCTTTCCATGTCTCGTCATACATGATTCCATGGCTTGGAGACGCAGCCCAAGCAGCCATTGCATGCCGCATGTTAGGGTTTGTCTTCTCATATGCAATTGAAGAGGAAGAGGCCACTGAAACCGCTGCATGTTAGGGTTAGGATTAGGGTTTGTCTTCTCATATGCAATTGCAGACGAAGAGGCCACTGAAACCACATATGGTCTCCACTACCGAAGAGAGAGAAATTTTACCCTTTTCTCTTCTTCCTATTGAAACCAGAGATGGCCTCCCCAAAATTTGGAGGTTTTTTTTTTTTTTTGGAATGGCGTCTTTAGATGAATCAGAAGAAGGTGACGAAAGCCCCTTATGCTGGAAAAGGGGCGTCGACGAAAACCAAATCCAGTTTATCAGTCACTGAATCTCCCCATTTTCCGACCTATTGTCTAAGAATCTGAGCACTCGTTCTATATCCATGAAAGCACAGGACTCACGGCCTCTTCTTAGCCTCTGCCTTTTCACCTCTTCTTAGCCTCTGCCTTTTCACCCTTACACATTTTTTTTTTTTCAAGAAGTCGAAGCCTATTCTTGAGCTCTTAACACAAAATCGCTGAAATTTTCCACCATTGTTGAACCGGAAAGAAATGGGTCACAGAAAGAGAGAGAAAGAACAGTTTGAGCCAGAAAGAAATGGGTTGCAGTAGAGAGAGAGACACTTGAGGAGAGAGAGTTAGAAAAAAAGATAGTTTTTTAAAATGTTTATAGGTTAAAAGTTAGAATAAAAATAGATAAAATTATTTGAGGGTTAGAAGATATGTTTCTAAATTTTGAATTTAGAAAAAAATAAAAGTTGAAAGTGGGATCTATGAAAATATATATATATTTTTAATATGCATTGAAAATGGTGCATAGTGGACTTTTAGATTAATTGTTTTAAGCTATGTAATTTGTGAATGTTTATAAGTACGGCCTACTTGGGTCCATTGTAACCCTCTCCCTCCTATTTATGGAAAAAAATTAAATAATTTACAACCTTAAAATGTAAACCTGGAATTACATATGCACCCCAAACATCGGAGAATGCTGTTTTAAGGCTGATAAACCTTTTAATTGATCATCTCGACATCGAGATGTATGAAAAAAAAAAATTTAAGCCTCATAAATATTGCATCTTACAACACATTATCTAAACCATCAATTTTCAAGATTTTCACACATTTATAGGTGTATTTATTTTGACAATTTTTGAAATTTTAAATTTTCATAATTAGCTATGAAAATAGTTTTTGAGATAATTTTAAAAAAAATTTACACCAAAATTACATGTTCGGACAAAATTTGGAAGTACGACTTAATTGGATTGTTTAAAGTTGCCACCCTAATAAAAATCGCACGTTATAACAATAACGACTAAGGGCTAAAAAAAAAAAATTCAGACCTATCGCACACTTTGTTATTTCACCCATAAAATACATCTTCATGAGCAATATATATCATGTCAAATTTTTGTTGGTGTTATAAATGAAATTGCAAAATCGATAATTTTGAAATGCTGTCTCACATGACAAACACTAGAAAAAAGAGTTCAATAAACACAACATTGGAAATGGTTAATTTTTTGAATAAAAATAATTCATGAAAAAATGCGAACTTTTTAGAAAAACAAATTCCGAACAAGGATTGGCATCTTCCTGGTCGCTTCCAAATGCGTCAAACGTCATACACCCATATTCTAGAAAATGCAAATACCAACTTCCAGAGACGCATTTCCACAGATTTGAATAATTAAGATTTCAATGCACTTCATTTTTTAATAATTAAGATTGCATTGTTTTATACAATCAATTTCAATTGGATGGCATTAATTTTACACTTTTTTAAGGCATCAAAAACTGAAATACATTAAATGGCATAAATCACTACCAAAATAAAGATTTCAATATGGTTCCTTCTTTATTAATTTGGATTGATGGCTCTAGCCTAAGGACCACAGAGCAACAAATGCCTTCTAAATTGATCTACTCTATGCTGCAGTCTCTCTCTCAAAAAGCGCATACACATGCACATGCACATTACACATACCGAACAGGCTTGCAAAACAACTAAATGATAAAATTAACGGGAAACCGGATAATACAACAAATAATTATACATTATGTGGCTAGTTTTGCTAGATAAACCATGTCCAAAATTTTCACATCTAAGGTATCGTCAACTTTAACAATCCCGTCAGTGCCATCGACACCAATTAGCTTCCCTGTAGAACCACGCTGAGCCCCACCCATAATCTTAATCTTGTCTGATTTCTTGGGCAACACCACTTCCAACTCAGTTGGATTCGCGGTAACGCTCTCTCCATTTCCCGATGTCCCCATCGACACCTTGCACGATCCATCCTGTGAAGAAAGAGGCAACGTAATAAGAAAAACAATTGCAGCATAGATAATTGAGCAACCACACAAGGTTGTGACAACCATTCAATTTTTTTGCCATTTATACAAAAAAGGAACATATCCCAATTTTAGTTTACAAGAGAAGGTACACAAGTCACGAACTTGAAGCAATTGAAATATATAAAAGAAAAGAAAGTCAGCTGATAAATCCAAGAATATGAGGTTAAATTCATAAGCATATGAGGTCATACCAAGAGCACCTCCCTGACAACTCCCACGCTTGGATCATCTCCTGGCCTCCGCACAGTTACGAGAATGTCAGGTAAGAACCATGGCCCATCGCCTTCACCACCTGCCACAAATCATTTATAAAACAATGTAGTGGGCCAACATTACGAGGCTTTCATTGCTAATTTGAACCGAAGACAAAAAAGAACAAAGAAAAAGAAAACAAAACTAATCAAACCAGATCTAGCATGATTACATGTGCAATCATGTGCGTTTGTGTGAGGGTGGGTGAGAGTCTGACATTTTCTAATTCACATTTTTTACAACAATTTGATGGTTTTTGCACCCTAAAAACATGTCTAAGCACTTGATCACAATGGAAATGAGAAATGCAATAGTCATGCCCAAAAAATAATAAGTAATTGATGGAATTATGGAAATAAAAAGCCACATAGTTAATGAATCGTTTGGGACCTGGTTTCCGCAAAACCTAGTTATGCATCAAATCCTGGATATGTAAATTCTAGAGTATGTAAAATCTGGTTTTAGGAAAATGTCATTTGGGTAGCCGCATCTAGCCTGCTATCAGGCCCCTTTTCCCTAAACCCCATGTGGTGCATGCAGCCTGGTGCCTAATGTGCGGGCAACCTGGTGCGTGTGGTGTAGGCGGCCTTGTGCACAGCCTGGTGCGCATGTTGCAGCTAGATGTGCAGCTGGTGCGTGGAGCAGGCCAACTAGCAGTGTAATGCATGTGGTGAAGGCTAAGTGGTGTGTGTTGCACCTTGATGGCTAAGGATCAGATAACCCCTCGGCGCATCAGGCAGCACATATGCCACTTTGACAAAGCGGAGCTACAACTCACGAAGGTCCTGTTCTTTAGGCTTACAACCATAGCTGAGAGAAGTGAGTGACCCTTCACACGGGTGTGCAGCACTAGGTGCATGGCGCATGCGCAGGCGAGTGGTGGCTAAAGACCCTTGGCATGAGGCCTTGGGCAAAGGACAAAGTGGGCTGGTGGCTAAGAGATGGCTCAATCGGACAGGACATGATCAAGAGGGCCATGTGCAAGAGGCGAGCCATACACCTAGCTGGGCAGGTGTGACAAAGATGGCTATATGTGGGTTCAAACAGTGTAACTACCCCGGTAAGGAGTTATGTAACGGTCTAGGCCTTAATGTGTGAGTGGTAGTGCATGTGTGTAACTATCCCATGCAGGTGCATCGCTAATCAACCTCTAGCATTGTGGGATGACCAGGTGTAACCGGCCCCCTCCACTCAAGAGCCAGAGGCGTGGATTGAAGGAGTGGGGAAGGTAGGCATAATGCTCACCATGAATAGTGGGCAGTTACGCCTTACTGGCGCATAACGTGGGACATGGGTAGTCAATGTGTAACCGACCCAAGTGGTGGGCGACCAAGTGGCCGACCCAGAGTATATGTATATGGTGAGCAGGTGGCCTCCATGCAGCCGGACATGGTGGTGGCATGACCATTATGGCAGTGTCATTTGAAATTCGTATGAAACCATGGGGCTACAAGTACCCCTTGCCCAGACCAGAGTGTGAGGACCATGGTTGCATACACATTTCAATTGTATAGTGGAACACGTTGGTCTAAGGCCATTGGCTATTTGTTGTGTTTGTGTGTGCCCTTGTGTGTTTGGTTGGCTCTAAACTCTTTCTTGTGCATTGGTGGGAAGGTTGGCCTAGCCTCGGTAGAGCAACGATTGAGGCTTGGCGCCGCGCATGGTGTAGTTAGAGAATTACCCCTGTAAAACCTGCCTACATATGTGTTACCATGTGTTTGTGTGAGAGAGAGGAAGTGAGGTCTGACAATTTCTAATTCACATTTTTTACAAGAAAATGTGCTGCCTTTTGCACCCTAAAAACATGTCTAAGCACTTAATCACAATGGAAATGAGGAATGCACTAGACATGCCCAAAAAATAATAAGTAATTGATGGAAATGAAAAGCCACAGAGTCAATGGGTCGTTTGGGACCTGATATGCGCAAAACCTAGTTATGCATCAAATCCTTGACATGGAGATTCTAGTATCTGTAAAATCTGGTTTTAGGAACCATGTCGTTTGGGTAGCTTTTGAATGAACCCAGTATATAAGAATTTCCCTGTTTAGCTCGTCTTAATGTTAAACCTGGTTTTGGAAATTTGATGTTAAACCAGTTTAGTTGTTGAATTTTATATTTGATCATTACATACTGGTATCTCTCCAATTGAAACGATGTCCTGGAAATATGCCATCTATACCTCTCTCTCTCCCTCTCTC